TGATGCTTTGGGGGCGGACTTCGTTTCCTAAGAACACGCCCTTCCTCCTCCTCCCTCTCCTGGTCCTCCTCCATGTGCCACAGCCGTTTTGGCGCAACAACTTTGAGGTGCTCTATTGCACGTGGAGCTGGGCAGGTGATGGCCCAGCCACCAGGTGATGACTGGACCGCGCCCATGGATGTGGGTAGCACAACTGAGGTCAGAGAGAGTGGTGCGACTGCCGGCAAGCTGAAGGACAACCTCATGAGCAAAGTGTTGGGTCTATCATTGGGGCATGGCGGGCTCAACAGATATTTGCAGAAGAAGTACAACACAGTTGAGAAAAAGAAGGAGTTCGTCAACTTGCTGAAGACTCATGTTCCGATTGATACATCAATCGACTACAATCACCAGCAAACCGTCGCCGAGACACCGGATGGCAACACTTACAAGGTTCACGTGTCCATGCTGGGATTTGACAAGGTGGCCTCCTGCAAGTACCTGGTGGAGCACTCGGTCGTGGAAAAGCTGATTCCAGAGATCATCCACGACGGCTTCGTGACCACCAGCGAGCCGTTAGTCTGCCATCAGCCCAAGGAGCTGCAGATCGCGGAGCTCATGCCTACAGAGAACCAGATGAACCACTTCAGCCTTGCGTATGTGAAGGGAATGGCCCGGGCTTGTACGCTGTTAACTCTCTTGGACGTGATCTTGGCAGATGGTGCCCAGGAGTTCTTGGACACATTCAAGACAGTGGTCGACAGCGCCAAGGTGATCACTATCAGGGTGCAGATTGCGATAGACCGAATTGCCCTTGCAGTCGAAAATGCGAAGCTCGCCCAACGTGGACGTATACGCAAGGCAAACAATGTCGTGACATGGGCTGGCATCGTCCTGGAGCTCAAGGCACATGGAATCACTGATCCGCAGACTCTGGTTCGGGCCTGGAATGAGAAGTGCGCGACGAAGGAGGCGCAGATCATCGGCCAGAAGCGCACAGCTCTTCTTTCCATCCTGAGCTTGAGTGACCACGCCCTGAACACTCTCTTCGAGATCGTGGCAGAGAATGGATGGGAACACTCCCCCTTCACCGAGGACTTCCTCGCCTCGCCGAAGCTCAAGAAGGACTGGTACCAAAGGAACGTTTCCAAGGCCTGGCAGCACCGCACCAAGGTCACTAGCAAGGCCCAGGAGCTGATGATGGACACTCTTCAAGTGCACTATCGTACCCTCCCGGTGAGCGCCAGGAAGAAGATGAGCAGATCGGACCTCGAAGAGCTACTGCTGGTGGTTTCAGTTGCGGTCAATCTATGCGACGAGGTCAAGGAGCAGATGCCAATCCCAGACGAGGTCCTCTACAAGAGCTTCCTCGACCTTGTTGTCTGTTCTGACCAGGCGGTCATACTCGAGCTCCAAATGGCAGTGGCGTCCAAGGACCAGAGCTTCAAGCCTGCTGACGTCCAGTGCCTGAAGAACATCATGCAAGCTCACGTTGCCAACACTGCGAACAGCGTCATGCATTTGCAGGCTGACGTCGACATGGAGGCTGGGAAGCTGGAGCAGAAGGCCATGGAGTTAGATATGGAGAAGATCGAGAACGACTGCAAGCGCTTCGACATCTGGAAGACCAAGATGTTGGATCGCGAGGCCCAGGACTACTATCAAGAGCTGGACTGGAAGAGGAAGCAGGTCGAGGCTGGCGAGCTCTTCGCAGACGAGTGGGTGGAGAAGCATATCTGCATTCTTGGGGAGGTGGAAGCAACAACTGCTGGGCGCAACATCCAACATCTCGCTGAATTTCACACCAAGAGCGTGGAGACCGTCAACCTCAGCAAGGGTGCCAAAAAGGTGGTGATAGGCCTCCTCAACTGGGTATCGCCATCCCAGAATGGAGCAGATCTCCGTCGCCACCAGATCGAGTTGATGAGCTTGTTGGACAGCTCTGAGAACAGCTTCACAACAGGAGCTGCACTTGGGGGAGGATGGAGAGAAGGAATAGCAGTCCCTCGAAGTAGAAGGAGGAGGAGGAGGAGGAGGAGGAGGAGGAGCTGGGGCAGGTGTTGTTTTTTCAAACTGGCTTGAAAAACACCGGGTGGGGAGGGGGAGAAGAAGGAGGAGCAGGTGTTTGTTTTCAAAAGGGTTCGCGCAAATCCGAGGAGAGAAGGAGGAGGAAGAGGAGGAGAAGGGAGGGTTGAGAAGGAGAGGGTCCCTGCTATTCACCACCTCCATCTTCCTCCTTGCTACAGGAGTCCTGGTGCTGATGCCGAACTTCGTATACAAGAAGGCGTCATTATGGATGGCAGAGATCAACGCCCTGAAGAGCCTATCCCAGACTGGCTTCAATAGCGACCACAAGTTTTCTGTTATGTTCGAGGAAGGCTCTGCTGATGCTCGCGACGAGAGGCCTGGTAATTACGATGGACGCTTCTGTATCCCGATACCTCGTGAGGGAAAGGATGGGGTGAATTGCTTTGTCAAGAGCAGGCTCTGGGTCCAAGGGTTTACAGATAGAGTGCCGTTCACGAAATCGTCTGATATGATGCAGATCGAGGACATGAGCGAGGACGCCATGCCAGAAGTGAGGGACGAGAAGCATACGATGTGTCCTTCGCTCCGTTTTCAGCAAGTGGGAATGCAAGCCATCGAAAGCATGGTCCGGGGAGCTACTGAGGGTATCTCTTCGAGCACTGAGCTGAGTGGGAACGCGTTGAACATCATGATCGTGGACTTCAGCGCTGATGCTGGTGTATCTATCAAGGCATTCCTGAACATCGTCTCCTCTTTCGAAGTGCCAGTGTCCCTGGCGCTGCTGCCAGAGAACGTCCGACAGACTGAGTGGCTAAAGGAGCTTGCCAGGAGGGAGGTTGCAAGTGGCTGGCTCAATAGCCAAATCAAGGACAAGAAGGCACCTCCACCCAAAGCCATGCCCCAGGAGGAGAAACATAGTTTTCCAGACAAGCCAGCGTTGTCTATCTTGACGTGGGCGCAGAAGGTCGGGGAGCTCGACTCGATCAAGATCCCTGCTCACGTCACTGACAAGTGGTCGGCAAAGGAGAAGTTCAACGAGTTCATGCAGAAGCTGGAGGCCAAGTACGGCGACATGTCATCCAAGAAGAGGGCGCTTGAATCCCATGGAGATCCAGGGACTCCTTCACCACACAAGGCCTTGAAGGTCGATAGGGATGCGACTCCTCCACCCAAGCAGGTCAACACGATGTCCCTGAGCGAGATCACCACGACACCCTTGGCAGATATCACCATTGCAAACTTGAAATCCAACCAAATCGTTCTGCAGTTCATGGTCAATGATGTTGTGTTCCTTTGCAACAAGAGCGACGCTGACGTCACCCTGCCGGCACATCACGTGCTAGTCCTCTTCCCGACGAAAGGCTCCAAGTTCGAGAAGACGCCTGCGAATGACGGCAAATCCATGGAGTACAAGCTCGGATCCCAGGATGAGATGATTGCCCTCGGTTCCATGGTCCAGGATACGATAGCAATGAGAGGAGGATCAGGAGGAGGACGGTTTGAAATGAGTTTTCCCCGAATGGTTTTCAACAGAAACTGGGCTCAAATATTTAGTCTCAGTGTCCTGGGTCCGCTTCTTTGTTTCCGGGCAGGCCTCCTTGGCCAAACGTTCTCCCTTCAGAGGACCTGTACAAGACAGTCAAGGACAAGAAGAAGCAGGAGCCCAAGCTCGCGAAGGTGTGCTTTCACACCTTGAAGGACGTAGCCACTGCAGAAAAGCCTGGCTCGTTCTCGATCGATGTCAAGGTACAGGTGCATTTCAACATCCAGGAGCGCATCAAGGTCGAGGATGACAACGAGAAGAAGCTCAAGACATCATTCCAGAACGCAGGGGCCTTGATTCCGATCAAAAAGTGGCTCGAGGCCCCGTTGCTCAAGATCATGTGGTCGTGCAAGTGGAGCCCCAAGGGTCTCGTCCCGGTGTGCCCCAAGGTGGTTACCAAGGAAGCGATCAGCCTCCCCCCCGGCAGTGGCATCAAGCTCCTGTGATTCGAGGTTTTCAGATTTCACGTGCTTGCTCGAGCCCGAGATTCGCAGGTCCTGCTAGTAGGACATGGGCTGTTTGAGGCCACGCTGAGGGTTGAGATGAGCGTTCAGTATCTCAGGATGTGTGTGGCTTGCATTCAGTGGCTTGTGATGTTAGCAGCGTGCCTGCAAGCAACTATCCTTTTGAATTTAACGTGTGTGCGGTAGCCCTCCACCTCCTTCACCTCCTCCTCCTCCTTCTCCTCCTCCTCCTCCCTCTTCCCCTCTTCCTCCTCCTCCTCGTCCCTCTCCTCCTCCTCCTCCTCCTCCTCCTCCTCCTCCTCCTCCTCCCCTCCTCATCCCTCTCCTCCTCCTCCCCCTCCTCCTCCTTCTCCTCATCCACATTCACCTCCTCCTGTTCAACATCATCCTCCCCATCCACCTCCTCTTCGTCCCCTGCATCCCTCTTCTCCAAGGTTTCTTTCAGACTCGTTTGAAAACAACGCCTGCTCCACCTCCTCCTCCTCCTCCTCCCAGTAGGCAGGCTTCTCGTGGCCCCGCATTCGATCCGCGTCCATCGCTGACTGGCCTCTTCTGGGAGAAGGAGAAACGACAAGGCGGCGTCCTGCTCAGAAACCTACTCCCTCGTCCCCCCATTTTCGGAGGCCATCTCTTGGCGCTGGGGGCTGAAAAAAATAGCATGGGGCCATCACTGGGCCCAGGTACTTCCTTAGGGGTCGCGATGGGCAGCTCCTCTCCACACCTATGCCAACTGCCAGTGCTCATGTCGGCTCAGGGTCGTAGAGCAGGGAAGTCCCAGGGGTAGGGGCTCATCAGTAACGAATGTCTTTTTTTATGATGCACTTCAACTTCACTGATCTGAAGCGCGTGAATGTTTGTGGTGCCGTGGGACGGGGAATACGTTGAAACTAAAACCACTTACACCCCTGCAATAACATAACTTATCTGACTCACGTCCTCGACCGCCCAGTCCCAGTTTATCTTCTTGCCCCCGCTTGGTGGCCCAGGTGCCTGCGAAACCCCCATCGACAAGAAGCGCGACAAAGTCGACCTGTTTGCGATCCCTGACTTCTGCGGGCCAGATACCAAATCGACAACTCCTGACAAGAGTGAGATGGGCCTGGGCGCTAACAATACGGTGAGGTTGTTATTGCACGAATCTGGCATTCGTCCTCCTCTTCCTCCTCCTGTGTTCCTCATGCTGCCGATGCTGCCGATGCTGCTTATCCTTCTCCCCCTCCTGCTTCTCCTCCTCCCTCCCTCGCTGGACCCCTAACCCTTCGCCCCCCCTCATCGCACGACTGCGAATCAATGCTCTAACAACCCCACCGAAGCCAGACGCTGAGAAGGAACTTGTTCCTGTCAACCTTTTTGATGTTGGGGATCACATCAAGACCCCGGCGCGCAGCCGTAAGCGTCAGCGCCGCTGGGGGAAAACAGTAGAACCGGGGGTTTGGACTCCAAAGCTGCCGAAAACCAGGCACCTTGGAAAATCTTAGGGCATCGACGTGTGCCAGCCTGGACCTGGAACTATTCAGGGGGAGGAGATAAAGGAGGGGGCATGGGAGATAGGGACGTGAATGCAACACTCTGGCCTTGCATGCTGCGCGATGTTGTGCTCGGAGGGGCCGTGCACTTCGAGAAAACACAACTTGGCAGGTGCACAAGATGACAGCGATCCCTACTCTTGCAGCCTGTTTTTTTTGCTTCCCTCAGTGTGCCGAGGGTTTGAAGATCGGATTTGTGTTTAAGTTCTCGGATTTTTCTGGGCCTCCAGGGGTGCTCTCGTCACTTCGACTGGATCTGCCCCGAAATCTCTTGCACACCGAACGCGCTCCAGGACAAGTCCATGGGCCGATTTCGAATGAGAGAACTGGGGGGGCCTGGGGCATGAGGAACAGTCGGTGTATGCACGCATTGTATGCACGTGCGTGCACTTGGCATGGCTTCAAACATACGTGCGAGCACATACATGAATGCACTTATGAGGAGGAGGAGGAGGAGGAGGAGGAGGAGGAGGAGGAGGAGGAGGAGGAGGGGCAGGAGGAGGAGGATGCTGAGGAGGAGGAGGAGGAGGAAGCGGAGGAGGAGGAGGAGGAGGAGGCGGAGGAGGAGGCGGAGGAGAGGAGGAGGCGGAGGAGGAGGAGGAGGAGGGGCAGGAGGAGGAGGATGCGGAGGAGGAGGAGGAGGAAGCGGAGGAGGAGGAGGAGGCGGAGGAGGAGGAGGATGAGGAGGAGGAGGAGGCGGAGGAGGCGGAGGAGGAGGAGGACTCTGAATTCTTTTCATCTGATGGAAATTCTTTTGATGTGACGAGTCGTTCAGCGCATCCAGGACGAGGACCGCCTCTCGATGGTCACCTTCGCCGGCGACGCCCGAGTGGAGTTCTTCCCGCAGGAGGTCGGTGCTGGTCGCGCTGGGCTGCGGCGCTGGGCGGAGGCCGACCGCGTCGCCCGCGGCCTGACCGCCTTCCGCGACGCGCTGCTGAGCTCGGCGGAGGCCCTCGAGAAGGCGCCCGCCGACCACGGGAAGTGAAGTAGATCGTGGCGCTCACCGATGGCGGGGGCGACGGGAGCACGAGCAGCGCGGAGAGCGTCGCAGAGGCCCTCCCCGCAAGCAAGGAGCGGCCTCCTCTCGTCATCGTCGGCGCGCAGCTGGGAGAGGACCTGAAGCCGAGGATGGGGCGGCTCTGCTCGGCCACCGAGGGCAGCCTCTTCGCCGACGCCGCTGGCGACGCCGCCGCCGCCGATGCGGCGTTCGAGGCGATCGCCGAGCTCATCCGCGAAGAAGGGCGCCCAGGGTCACCCCCCCGATGGCAGATTGGGGCATGCCGAGAGAGAGAGAAAGAGAGAGAGAGAGCGCGCGCCGCCCGTGCTTGGGCGAGGCGTGCCCCCCCGCGGGCGCGGAGCGCCCCCCGGGCACAGCGGGGGCGCGCCTGCCCGCTGGCGGGCCTGCGCCTCCGCGCCGAGCTCCGACAGCGGGGGCTGGGCCTGTCCCGGCATCGCTCGGACGTGGGCATGTTTCCTCGGCGAGAGCCACGGAGGACGATCCTGGACCATCGAGCAAACAAAAAATAAAAACACGCACGACACCGACACATGCACGGGAGCTGGGCGTCCGAGCGATGGCGAGTTGTCGCGAGGGGCCGAGAGGGCCAGACATCTGCGACGTCGCGGCGCGGCAGAGGCAGTCCGCGCGCGCGCTCGGCAGGGGAGAGGAGACGGCGCGGCTGCTTGGGAGGGAGCGGGGGGAGGCCGGGAGGAGGGAGAGGAAAGCGGCCAGGAGGGGAAGGGGAAGAGGCGGCCGCGAAGGGAGGAGGGGGGGCGTGTTTTTGGGGGGGCAGAGGGCCGAACGCGCAAGCTCGAAGCTCGACGTGCGCAGGGCGCCTCCCGGCGCGCTGCTGCCCCGTCCCGCCTCCTCTCGGCCCCTGCTGGCCCCTGCTGGCCTCCTCCTGGCCCCTCCTTGCCCCTATACTCCTTGCCCCTCCCTGCCTCGTCTTCCTCCTGTGCCTCCTCCTCCTCCTCCTCCTCCTCCTCCTCCTCCTCCTCCTCCTCCTCCTCCTCCTCCTCCTCCTCCTCCTCCTCCTCCCCCCCATCCTCCTCCTCCGCAGCCGCTGTGGCGCAAGACGGGTTTCTTTCGATTGGCTCTAGCAAGCTAGTTTTTGTTCGCATTGTCGTCCCTTTTGCTTCCCCCTGTATTTGTCTCGTTTCTTCTGAAGGAGGCTCGTGGTCATGTCTCTCATGTCGCTGCGAAAGTTATTCGCACTCTAGCGGCGCATTCTGGCAACCATTCTTCTGGCCTCGGCTGTGCAGTACATGATCAATCGAAGATGCTGTCTTCGCCTACACGGCGCCGTCTGCAGCTCATTGACATAGCGTGCCCGGTGTCACGCCATCTTGCGGAGCCGTGGGAGGATCTGTTATTTAATCGCTTCGCTCATTCCGCCGGCCCGTATTGTGCCATCGCAGGCGTTTGCTTGCGCGTTCGTGGCCTCTTGGAGCCTCGGTGGGGCCGTTTGGGGCCTCTTGGCGCCTCTTTTTAGGCCTCTTGGAAAACTCGGGAGGCCTCCAGGGGGCCTCCTGAGCTCTCGTGACGGTCTCTTGGGGGGCTTTCGGCGGGCTCTTGGCGGTATTTGTTGGTCCTCTTGGGGCCTGGGACCTGACGTTGTTGGTCCTCTTGGGGCCTCACGGGAGCTTATTGGGGCGTCTTGGGGGTGTCTTGGAGAGTCTCTTGGGGCCTCTTTCGGGGTCCTGGGCGCCTTCTGGGGCGGAGGGCTCGATTTTTCAGTTCTCGGTTCCCTTCTTGAGCCCCTCTTGGGCCCGTCTTGGGGCCTCTTGGTCCGCCTTGGGCAGCACTTGGGCCGTCTGGGGGGCGCTCTTGGGCCGCTCCGGGGCCGTCTTGGGAGCCTCGTGGGCCGTCTTGGAGCAGTCTTGAAGGCCTCTTGGGCCCTCTTGGAGCGTCCGGAAGCGAAAAGGCCAGAACGCAAAAAAACATAGAAAAAACAAATGAAAATCAACGATTTTGGCAACTTGGGGCCCTCTTCGGAGGCCTCTTGGAAGGCCCTTGGAGCGTCTTGGAGGCCTCTTGGGCTGTCTTGGGGCCATCTGGGGCGTCTTCGGGCGATCTTTGGCCGTCTCGGGCCTCTCTTGGACCGTCTAGAAAGCTTCTCGGGGCCCTCTTGGACCGATCTGGAGCCCTCTTGGACTCCGAAACAGAACTCCGGCATCTCTGGCCCGACCTTGCCGGGACCTTGCCGGGGACTTGCCGGGGACTTGCCGGGATCTTACTTTTCGTCCGGGGACCCCCAGGGGCCGCCCCGCGCGCGCGAACTAGAAATACTGTTAACCAGGTACCGGAGATCTTAGCACGCCCTGGCCCGTTGGGCCGGCGAATTCGATGCTCTTGCGGACGAGCTTTCGCAGTCCTGCCCTAGGAGGTCGGTCCCGCCCGCGGTTCTGGCTCGTCGCTGCGCGGGCGTTAGAGTCCATCGGGATTGTGGACTTCGCAAACGTGCTCCTGAGTTTATTCCTGATCAGGGTGCCCTCAGTTCGGCCGCGGTCTCATCGTCGCCCCCACTTCTGCTTGTTCCTGATATGTTGCAGCAGGTGCATGTCAGCCACGACGCACAATTCGCTGCTTAATGTTATGCGGGCCCTGTGGAATTGCAAAATGGCACCAGTGGTCGCCTCCAGGGCTTACCGGATAAGGTCGGGGAGAGGGCGCCTTGTCTGAAGAGCTCTGGCGACAGCTCTGCTGGTGAGACATCTTCCTGTGCGGCGCCGCAGAACTCTGGGTCTGCTTCTGAGTCTGATGTTGGTCCAGTCGGTGCGACGGGCGACGGCAAGCGCACCTTGAGTGCAGATGCATTTCCAGCAACAACTTGATGATTTGCCCGCAAAAACGGATCCGAACATCAAAGCTGCCACGGCGGAAAGGTGCCGCTCTCTGCCTGGTCTGGCACAGGGCGCGGCCCGCAGACTCCCGGGCATGGTCGACGAAGTCGTTCACGAGGTGGCGTCGGCCAGGTGCCGCACAGCCGCGCCGCCTCTCGAGCCTGCGCCGCCACCCGCCGTGGAGGATCGCCTGATGAAGTTCATTGGGTCTCTCGTCGGCGCACGCAGACGGAGGGCACTGATCCGCAGCTTCGTGGCCGAGCCCGTGGCGCGCAGGGAGCAGTGCCCCTCCGTGTCCGTGCCGGTGGGGTCTCTGCATGCCGAGGGGCGCCTTCCTGCGGAGCGCTTCGATGCGGTGGAGGCCGCGCGGCCCACTGAGCGCGCGGCCGAGACGGCAGGGCCGGCGCGGGAGTCTCCGACCCGCGACGTTGCATCTGGTGCGACGCTCTGTCGGCTGGGGCGCGATTGTCGCCGCGCTGGTTGCGTCTTTTGTCGCCCGAGAGGTCGTGTGGTCGACGAGTCATTGCGGATTCGCCGATCGCGTCGAACCAGCCTGCGCGGATCGAGGCATCGGCACAGCCCATCAGTTGTAAACGGTTTGGCCTGGTGTCTGAACAGCTCGAAGAGGGAGAATTCGATGAGAGGGTGGGTTCGTACATCCTCGGCAAAGCTCTCGGCTGCATGGAGTGGCGCCTGATGTGCAGAGATCCGTTTCGACCCAGGTACTCCGTGGCATGCGCTCCC